GCTCCATATTGCTTGGAAGTTCTTTTCTGAAGGATATTCGTTAATATCATTTGTTATCTCATATGTTTGTTAATATTACAAGCATTATTACGTACGAGACTACATACAGTCTGTAATAAATTTTACAGTATACTTTTTGATTGTGTAACGGCGCATAACTGTTGCTTAATTATGCTCTAACGGAGTAGTTAGTCATGATAATTTCATAATATTCTTGCGAATAAGTATTCTACTATCTTGCCCATTTTTGCAGCGATCTCTCTTTCAGTTAAGGAGATCATAATCTATCGCACAAGTGTGGAAAATTGCTTTCGGTGTAGTTAGACGTCATTTAATAAAGCGTGTAAAAAGGAAAGAAGGGAGAAAGTAATGTGCAAAGTATGAAATAATGACGAGGCGGCAGGATATACGCGATTAAATATAGAGGAGATGCATATCGAGGAAGATGAAGACTGAAAAGAGGGAAAGAGGAAGAGGGAAAGAGGAAGAGAAAAAGGGGAAAATAGAGGAGTGGAGGGGGAGGGGGGAAATAGAGAAAGAGCGAAGTATGGACGTTTCCTTTCAAAGTGAAAATTGAGTCGCGATTACGTACTTTACGGCTCCGACAATTTTCGAAAAATATTACCCGACGCCGGGGATAACAGCGCGCTCGTAAAATCAGCATATTCCCGTAGGAGTTCGGTATTATGAATTTCCTGGGAAAAAGAAAGCAAACGCCACGCGATGCGAAGCGAGGATGTTCAAGGGCGAGGTTTATTTGCCAGGTTTACGTGCCGGACCGACGGGAATGAATTTTCCCTTTCATCTGTATTCTGCTCTCTCTCTCCGCGGGGGTCAAACGCAGCGACGGTGATTACCCTGACGAAACCACGAAAAGCGATTCCAGAAGTACTCCACTACAACGGTGATACAATCAGGGGTAACCGTCTTGCGCATTACTCGGCTCGGCCGTTTCTCGACAGAGGGATGAAGCCGGAATGAAGCGAGAGCTTTTTACTTCAAAAAAGATCCGAAAACACGATTATTCCTGTCGCCGCGATGCGGAAACGAGAACGATGCGGTTCTTACGGGGCGACGGATCTCTTCTCTTTTCGCGATGAAACGGGCGGACGGTATCCGGGCGGGAGCGTCAGCTCTCATTTCTCCAAGCCGCGTTTGTGAATTTACGCTGATACGTCAGACTTTACATTTTCGACGGATCATATCCTCACAAAGATTATATTGTTCATCGCCGAGATTTTGTTTATCATATAATTATTATTAGATCGATCCTTTGGCAAATCCTTGTTAATCATTACGCATCTCGTATTAATTATTGTTGCATCGCGTTTATGATTTATTTCCAATATGCTATTGTAATAAGCACTCTATATCCCCGTTTGCTGTTTCGCGCATTATTCAAGCTGTGTGCTCCTAGGAAATTTGGTACGGAATAAATTGGTCTCTACCTAGCCGTGATGTATATGTACGTCTCATTGCGGATTCTTTGTCCCTTTCTCAACACGCGCGACCAGTTTGCATCAGCATAGTTCATACGGCATACGTGCCCTACGTGAGCGTTACATTTGTCCGCGTTTGTTGTGTTGTTGCGCGCACGCTCGCGCATCCGGGGAACCCCGTGCTCCCCATTCAAAGCGGGTTTCCTACCCACGTCGTAATTCATATAACGGTTCGCGCAGAAATTGTGGCATATCGAAAGCGCGAATTGCATCGACCGCACCGTGAAATTACACTGTATCGGCGATGCCGAGCGGGCTCTCGAGCCACGTCTCGCGCCGCTGCCGGCACTTTAAGCACGCAGGAAATACGGCAGAATGGTCGTTAATATGATCGGTGCGTAACTATATTCTCGAAGTCTCGAAGTTCGATTTATGCCCGCCATTCAAGAATAATCAGGACAGCCGCGTGCCTATTAGACACGTTTAATCAACCTGACGTCAGACTCTCCGCGTCGAATAAAAATATTAATGGATATTTTAATATACGTATAGTAATTAAATAGAAATCTTATTTAAAAACAAAACAGTAAATTTTAATATTGCATAGAAAAGTTCATTACCAAGTTGCAATTAAAGTTTAAAAATATAAGATCAAGTAGATCTGAGTAGATAC